AGTGCACCGGTCTTATGCCTGGGTGGCCCTTTGTACCATTGCTGAGTTTTGTAAGTGTACTGCATGCTGAGCGTTTTCCTAGTTCCTAGTTCCTAGTTTCTTAGTGTCTCCGAGTGTTTTCTAGTTTCACAGTTCCTGGACCCCTTGCCTGTATCTGGTTTTCCCATTTGCCTCATCCCTGCATTGTATGATTGCTGATCTGGACTGCTAACCTGGTTTTGACTTCTGCCTGTTCTCTCGTACCTGTTTCTGGATCTTCCTTTCAATAAAGCCTGCATTTGGATCATCACTGTCTGTTTCCACCGAGCAGTTCATGACAGCTAGTATGTAACATTAAAAAAAAGAGCATTTTTTTAACTGTTTATTTGAACTATTTCTGTTTTTTTTTTCTTCTTTATTTTATTTACAGGAATTATTAGTTACATTTACAAAAAGTTAGTAACTGTATTATGACTCACAAAACGTATTTATAAGAACATAACATCTATTGATAACAATATATTTATGTATTTGACAGAAAGAAATTGAACTATAATAACATTATAGCAATGCATGTTGCATCTTTGTAAATACATTCATGGAACCATACGACTGACTAATTAATACAAATAAATCAGTGTATAATGGCTTATAAGCATGCGCATTGAAAAAGCAAATGTATGACTTATAATAATTAATTATAATAATCTGTTACATTTATATAGCGCTTTTCTACTGTAGGTACTCAAACCACCAATGAATAGCATCCACCTGGATGATGCGATGGCAGCAATATTGCGCCAGAATGCCCAGCACACACCAGCTTATTAGTGGAGAGGAGAGATAGTGATGAAACCAATCAGTATAAATAGGGGGTGATTAGGAGGCCCTGAGAGGCTAATGGGCAAATTTGTCCAGAATGCCGGGGTTACTCTATTCCTGAAGGACATCCTGGGATTTGTAATGACCACTACAGAGAGTCAGGACCTCAGTTTAACGTCTCATCTGAAGGACTTATAAGTAATTATAAGAAATAATACAAACGTGACTACCGTAAAACTTAAAATAATAGCACAGTCCCAAATAGACGCCTGTCTCTTTTACACACCTGGAGTGGCTTCAGGTTTGGGTAAATAAAGGCCGGTCTCAAATAGAGGCCGGGGCTGTTTTTTTAGTTTCGGGTTGTATTTAATCTTCTAAAACCCCCTTAGATTTATAGAATAGTAATACTACATATACTGAATTATAGCTCCATTTATACTTATTTATAAGCACGGACTTCATAGAAAGTGTTACTGTGGAGGTTTTGGAAAGTGCTGCGGCAAGTTTTTTGCGCCATCTAGTGGTTTAGAGGAAAATAAAATCAAAGGCGCCGTTTCCCCGGTGCGCCTTTAGCCCTGTTGTACACCATATACAGTAATATTAGAGGCATGTAATGTGACATTTTCAATACTTTAACATAAAAAAATGACATTTGATAATGTCTTTTTGTCTCTGTGTTGATGAAGTCATCAGTCACGTCATACACGTGCCTCCACGTGCCTTCTCAAATCTGATCTCTCTCCTAGATGGTCCTCCATCAGAGATTTCCATCAAGAGGGATTTTTTGTCTCAAGCAGGGGGAACGACTTATCAAACCGACCAGTTTGGAAATTGTGGGTTTGGCTAATGAGGGTGTATCTGGTGGCCATTGCTTCTTCCCATACACCTTTGGGGAGAAAACCCACTGGTTTCTCGTTTCCTAAGTTGTTATGAGGATGAGGCCCGAAAGCCATGCAAGGGTTCTGGCTTGGCATTTGGTTCTGGTACTAGAAGGTCTGTCCACAGGACCATTCTAGCCTATATTGGCCCCGATTTTGTTGCAAATAAACTTCTGATTCTAAAGACTATGTTCTTACTGGCTATCACGTCTGAGCAGGAACCAGAATTTCCCCTTCATGCTTATGGTTAAAAACTTTGTGCACCCTAGACTGGGTTAAATGCCTAAGGTTCCAACTAATGTTGCAAAATCTAGAGTCTTGCAAGCCTTTTGTCCTCCTCCATTCCAGACGTCAGTCCAGGAGAGGTAGAGCACTGGACGCTTATGTCCACAGAGATGCCGTGTGGAGGAAGTCTGATCAGTTTTTGGTCTGTTTTGTGTCGTCTTGGAAAGGTTCACCAGCGACCAAACAGACTGTGAGCAAGTGGATAGTCAAAGCTAATTCTCTTGCTTATGAGGTGTGGTGTTGGCTTTCACCTATGGCTGTCAGAGCAACGGTATTGACTCCCTCTGTTCATGACAACTCCTTAAGCCTCAGTTGGCTCGCTTTGGACCAAGGTATTTGGCGGGCAAACAACCCCCGGACGTTGACCCCGAGGAAGCTCCGATGAGGCCTGATCAAGCCCCGGAGGTGACATTGAAAACACGACTGGCGCTGACACGCACTATCACACTCGTTTTTGGCACTGCAGTAAAATTTGTGGAACGGCTATTGTGGAACTGCTTATTTTAGGGCTTTTTTAATATCCCACTGCAAATATTGTCCTGCAGTAGCAACACTGGTCTAAACTTATAATATTAAAGGGATAGTTCACTTTGAAATTAATTTTTGATATGTTTTAGCTTGCCTCAAGGGCATCCAAGATGTAGGTGTCTTTGTTTCCACAGTATTTTCAATTTTGACATTTTTCAGTCAAACCGTTGTTGTCTATCAGTCATACACTGGAGGCTAAGGGGTCCACCAAAAAGCATGCACAGAGAAGTCAAAATTAAACATGATTTAATAACTCGTAAATGTAAGTACACATTGATGGCCTAAGACATGAAACGAGCGGTTTGTGTGAGAAAACGAACAGTATTTATATCGTTTTTACCTCTTGTAATCATAGCCATGACAAAATGATCTGACGGCACTGGCGCTTCGGTCTGCGCAATGCTCCGGAAGTGATCGCTTGCGCGCCTACATCACTCTTTGTTCATACATAGATTTCGGAAGTTTTACCTTTCACTAAACATATTTAGATATATACGGGAAACCGTAATGGAAGATGATTTCGGCATATCTAAATATGTTTAGTAAAAGGTAAAACGTCCGAAATCTCCGTGTAAATATTGAGTGACGTCACACGCAAGCGATCACTTCCGGCGTAACATTGAACTGATTCAGTTTCAGTTCAGTTGGACATTGCACAACTGATTCAGATCACTTGGACGTCACTGTGATTACACGAGGTTTAAAACGATATAAATACTGTTCGTTTTCTCACAAAAACTGCTCGTTTCGTGTCTTAGGCCATCAATGTGTACTTACATTTACAAGTCATTAAATCACGTTTAATTTTGACTTCTCTGTGCATGCTCTTTGGTGGACCCCCTTAGCCTCCAGTGTATGACTGATAGACAACAACGGTTTGACTGAAAAATGTCAAAATTGAAAATACTGTGGAAACAAAGACACCTACATCTTGGATGCCCTTGAGGTAAGCTAAAACATATCAAAAATTAATTTCAAAGTGAAGTATCCCTTTAACTACACAATTCATTTTACAATAATACATTTACTACATAATGTTTTGTGGTATCATTAAGAAACACTTACTCTTAGTGATGGAGTTATGGAGGCTCAGAGCTCTGGAGTTTCTTTCTGCACTTTCCATGCAGGCAGATCTCATGGTCACATCACTGACCGATGGCAGCTCCTCAGTCCCCTGATCAGGCCCAAACTAGACAGAGCAAGAATCAAACATCAATTAGTGAAATGACCAAAATATTATGGTAATTGTATATAACAAAATAGTTACTGGTAGCACTTTATTTCACAGTCCTGTTCCCCATGTACAATACATATTAACTTATATTAAAGGGTTCGTTCACCCAAAAATGAAAATTAAGTCATTAATTACTCACCCCCATGCTGTACCAACCCCGTAAGACCTTCGTTCGTCTTCGGAACACAAATGAAGATATTTTTGATTAAATTTGAGAGCTGTATAACTACCACATTGGCTGCCTAAGGGACTGCCTCTTGACGGCCCAGAAAGTCAATGAAGAAAATGTTTAAATATCCCAAGTGACTACCGTGGCTCAACTATATGTTTATCAAGCGACGCGAATACTTTTTGTGCGAAAAAACAAACAAAAATAACGAGTTTATTCGACTATTTCTTTTCTTCCTTGTAGGCCAGAAACGAGACTTCCTTAGATTTCCACGACGCATGCGCGAGAATTGCGATCTAAAGTAGTGTAAGCAGATCGCAATTCTCGCGCATGCGTCGTATTCGTAAAAGTATTCGCGTCGCTTGATAAACATATAGTTGAGCCACGGTAGTCACTTGGGATATTTAAACATTTTCTTCATTGACTTTCTGGGCCGTCAAGAGGCAGTCCCTTAGGCAGCCAATGTGGTAGTTATACAGCTCTCAAATTTAATCAAAAATATCTTCATTTGTGTTCCGAAGATGAACGAAGGTCTTACGGGGTTGGTACAGCATGGGGGTGAGTAATTAATGACTTAATTTTCATTTTTGGGTGAACTAACCCTTTAATTGAACTGAACCTGATTATGAACTGAACCTGCAATGTTTCAAATTTGAGAAAGTACTTCTTAAAAGTGAAATGATTTCTGTAAATCAAGTGATCAAACGCTGTGACTCTCAGTGTTCAGTGATGGGTTTCAGAAAATAATGATTTCACAATGTACTCATGCATTTAAAACTGAAGAAAAATTAAGATGAATATGAATATAAGAGAAAATGTGGGGAATAGAGGGAGCATGAGAGAAAGTGATTTTATGAGGGGAAGAATGGATGATGAAGTGGGAGGAACAGTGAACATACAGGAAGGAAAGAGAGAGAGAGAGTGGGAGAAGGATCTCAGAGGTTAAAAACCCTTCTAAAAACACTACAATGACTTTCCAAATACTGAGAGCTACAAGCTGATCCATCAGTTGCCCTCTGTGTGGGAGGCAGGATCCTGCATACACAACAGCAGCAGATCATGCCATGCTTCAGGAGTTGAAATCTGTTGTGCTATTCTGGAAGTTGGTCATGCTTTTAATGCTGTTTCTAAGTAAGAGTCATAGCAGAGGTGAGTGATTCACTTACATACTTAATGTATCGATTACAACGTTTTTTAAATAGTGAATAGTTTCGGCCAAGAATTGGTTTAAAGCGGAAAAAAAAACCCCAGAATGAATCATCATTTGTTAAAGTATTATTCAATATTTTAAAATAAAGACACAATGGGAGATCATTTACATAATCCTATGAGTGCACTTAAAAATACAGAATCAAATCATTAATTGCAATCAGATCAAATAGTATTGCATTATTCTGCATTTGCAAAAAATCCTTCCAAAATCAAATCGAAATCCTATAAATGATTAATTGAATCGTAATTGATAACTGTTAGTCATGGACTAAAAGTCAAAATGTCCTCGAGCCTACAGTATTACACCCTCATCACATGCATATACTGTAATACACACCTATCTGCTCCTTTATATATTCGATTTACTTTTTTGTTGTTGATCATTTTATCTGATGGTCAGAAACACTGATAGGGCATTACCGGTATTTTTTTGTTCCAAAATAGTGTCTCGGTGAAGGAAAAGGTTGACTCAATAAGCATCTGTGCCTTTTGTGATCACATGATCAGTTCTTGCTTGCCTTGACAATCAAACAAAGTTTCTACTATCAGCTTGTAAAACAAAATAATGTCATAATGACAAAAAAAAGTGTGCATTTCATACCTCTTCCACTAGCTCTGGAGGCACTTTAGGTTTGACTGCCAGTATAAGGTCAGGGGTCTCGTCCCTAAGCTCTCCAGGGTTTTCATAGATGTGCCTGTTTCCTTTCAGCCCCACATTATCATACACATGTCTGACAGACACATCCATAGAGAGAGAGATATTGGTTAAAACAAATAAAATAAAGAATAGAATAAAAACTTTTCTGCAAACACCGAGCTGCTCATTTGTGTCATCAACAAAGAGATTGAGGCTGGGATATAAGTCTTGCTTTTTTTACAACATCCAATTGTTCCACACTGTACTACAAAAAAAGTCTCTTTAAGTTAATATTTGTGTTGTTATTTGTGAGTGCTATCCAAGTAAGAAAGAAGTGTACTTTAGCATACTTTTAAAAAGAGTGTTTATTGTATTACTGAAATGAAATACTTTAAAATAATATACTTCAGCGTGAATCGAATGTAACGTTTCCGGACATTTGCTTAACTGAATGTTAATTGTAATTACAAGAAAATATCTTTTAGTTTAAATTATCTTAAGAGTGTTTTTTTTTTAACCACTTAATTAGGACTTAAGAACTTGTTTATATGAAATTCAATAATTACTTATGTCTTTAAAATATAGTTAAAGTAAAGCAGAATGTACTGACTAGCATTTGTGGTAAACTCATTATACTTTAATGTAATTTCTATTGAAACTTGAATGTCATGTCTTTAAATGTATTTGTAATTACACATTTCAAATGAAGTAGCAATTTAGTAGCCTACATTTTAATATATAAACTAACCTAAATGTAATATTGAAACAACACACAACAGTTAAAATGACAATTGCGTACTTTACATGGGTTTTAGCATGTTAGTCAACACGTCAAAATAAGTGTATTTTTTTAAGCATGAGAAAACTTTATAAAACATAAAGTACATTTAAAATGTACATTGAAATGTTTAATTTGAGTTTACTACACTTTAATAAAAAACATACTGTAGGCATGAAAGTGAACTGTATTTTTTTTTTTATTTGAAGTACACTACAAGTGCACATTGAAGACAATTTAGTGCATTTTTTTTTGGAATGCACCTTACAGCGCAACACAAGACCACAGCCGATTTCTTATAAAATGTCAAAACGTTATTGCTTTTCCTTTTAAGTATACATTTGGTACACATGACCAACTTTTTTTGAGTCCTAAACTTGATTTTGCAACATGGGTTAACTTTATATGAGTCCTAACACATCAAAACAACCAGTTACCACAGGTGACGAATTAAATTAATAGTTAATTAGCACAGATCCATCTTTCAGTTAAAGTTAGTTTTCAAAATGATTTTAAATTGTGGCTGATTTAAGTGTTGCAACAGTGTTGTTGTAATTAACTATTAATTGTTATAGTGAAATCAGAACAGAAATCTGTATACCCTTCAAGGATGTCCTGGCATGGAGGGTGTCCTTCTAATGAGTAGCTTCGTGTGAGAGAGACAGGGGTGATATCTGGGGTCTGACTCTTCATGCTGTCCTGCAGGGAAGTTGCCCGCAAGAGGGGCAAGCTGGGTGGGGAGAGGAGCGAATCTGTATCCATGGGCTCGGGAAATACCATCTGCTCTCCAAGTAGATCCTGCTTTGGAGTTTCACTGTCATCCATCTTATTTTCATTCTCCTTCATCTCTTCTTCCTCCCCTTCATCATCATCATCACCATCACCTTCAACGTCGTCATCATGCAGAACCCAGGCTTCGCCCGATCGTCCTTCTCCGGATTTGCTTTCTGCGTCCTGGATGGCTTTCTGGTAAAGCTCAGAGAAACTCCTGAAGTCAGACACAAGAACAAGAAAAAAAGGGAAAAGAAAGTGAAGAGCAATGGTGGTGAAAACCTCAAAGTTTCAGCTTATTTGCTTCAGCACAGTTAGTCATGGGTGAAAAGATCAATGCTACTATTTTGGTTCTCTTTTTTGAAGTATGTTATATAATCAGAGACTTACATAAATCATGCTGAGTGAGTTGCTTTATATAGGATTCTTTTTATTTTTTTATGTAGTTTTAAAACCAAGATGCATTCGTGTGTGTTGGTTTAGATCCATCAATAAGCATAATGAAAATTCAATGATAGTTGGCCAGCTGGTGAAACACTGTTCACAATACAATGAGATCTGTCCTTCAATCAATTGCTCCTTCCCCTTTCTATCCATCTGTTTCTCTCCCTAGGGACATAGCCTCTCTCTCTCTCTCTCTCTCTCTCTCTCTAAATATATTTTGTAATAATAACAGTAATGCTATTACTGTATTTTTGATCAAATGAAGGCTGCTTTGGTGAGCATAAGAGACTTCAGTCACACTTTAGTTTAGGGTCCAAAAACTAAGTAAGGTTTATTTCTATAGCACATTAAACAGCTCGCGCTGACCAAAGTGCTGTACAAAGTGCAGTAGCCACAAGGTAATAAAAATAAAGTAAAATACAGTTGCAATCATTGATTTAAGCTAGATCCACATCGAAAAACAAACACTCAATTACAAACATAGCAAGTTAAGACATTTCAAGATGCAGGGAAAGCCAATGTAAAAAGGTGAGTTTTGAGCCTGGATTAAAAAAAAATCACAAATATTTCTGATATCAACTGGCAGTCGGTTCCAGAGCTGAGGGCCAGCAACAGAAAAGCCTATATCACCTTTTTGCTTAAACCGGGATTGTGGGACCTGGAGGATCTGAGGGACCTCGGAGCTACATGTGGATGAATGATATCTTTATTAGCTGTAGCTGGGGGCCAGATTTAAAAATCATCAGCAGGATTTTGAATTGTATCCATAGACCGGACTGGAAGCCAGTGCAAGGAGGCTAGGACTGGTGAATGTGTTCACATTTTTTTGTGTTTGTGAGTAGCCTAGCCGAACAGAACAGACTTGAGTTTGAAAATTATTCTTAATTGATCTTAAGATGGGAATCAAAAACAACACCCAAGTTATGTGCGTGGGATTTAACATAGGGTGCAAGGGGGCCGAGGTCAGCAAATTTTGAGGGGCCAAAGACAATACCTTCAGTTTTGTTGTCGTTTAACTGAAGAAAAAAGGTAATTTCTTTCAAGACAATCTAAAAGAGGCTGCATGGAGTTGCTGGATTTAAGTGGAATGTATAATTGGGAATCATCTGCATAGTAGTGGAATGAGATATTGAATTTTCTGATGATGTTACCTAGTTGCGTTTGCTATCATTTCTAGAGCGAGAAGTATATGAGCTGTAGCAAGATTTGTGACATAACACAGAAGCTGATGAAGCACCATCTGTAGCAATAATGTTTGACAAAGTCTCATGTATGGTTGTGTCTCCGAGCTTAATTAGCATAGTAGCGATTCCTTTGGACCCAGATATTTTAAAGTCGCCATCTTTACCACCGCATGGTGCAAACAGACACTTCTTTCCCGACATTTTGACCTGATCAAACCAATCTCTCTTTGTTTTGAAACTCTGAGAATGTTCCTCCACAACAACTTGGGAAAGCTGCAATAACACGAATATCTGTCTTTAATCTTTCCTTATCAAACCTTATGTCAAAGTCTAAATTTAAAAAAAAAAAAGAAAAATCCAAAATTTTAATATAATGGTAACAAATTTTAGAACACCAGATTTGTTTTTAATCCTTCCTTATCAAACCTGATGTTAAAGTCTGAATTTAAAAAAAAGAAGAATCCAAAATTTTAATATAATGGTAATTTGTAATTTGTAATTTACGAATATTAAGGCGATATAAGAAAAATAATATAATAAAAATAAAAATGTAAATGAAATTATAAAAATAAAAAAAAATAAAAATATTTGCAAGGTGAATTTCGACTTTAAAACTAGACTATGCTCCCTTGCTTTACAACATACTTATTACAAATACAACAGCTAGCTGCAACAGTTTATTTCATTAAAAAATAATCAGACCTCAAGAAATGTAAACAAATTTTTTTTTTTTTTGTGATTTCTGAAATGTGAAATTATTGTGTTTACCAGGAAAATAACCTAAAATTTTGTCTGAAATTAATAAAAAATGTGTCTAAATTTGTTTTAGAATTACCATTTTTGAGTCTGATAGTGCCAGAAATGAAATCAGCATTCTCTAAAACCTTTAAAACCACTCACATATTGTAGAAATTGGCTATAGCGTGCAAAATATCTAGTCAAAATGGACGATTAAGCTAATAATGCTAATTATGCTAATTTTGAAAATTGTTTAACATATGCAAAGTAGCATCCGGCAGTTTCTGTATGCTGGGGACCCATACTTCACATTTCTGCAATAAAACTTTGGTGTACTCAACATTTCCGGGTTCACAATGGGGCTCAATGGGCTGGCTACTAGACTATAGGGGGAGCATGTACTGTAAAGGCAGAAGAGTACAGGACCCAGAATGGATCCCTGGGGGACACCATAAGACAACGGGGCAGGGGATGAAGAGTATTAGCCTATAGATACTGAAAAAGATCTTTGATGGAGGTAGGAGTGAAACCAGTTTAGAGCTGTTGCCTTAAAGCCAACCCACTGTTCAAGATGCACTAGAAGTGTAAAAGCAGTGCTAAGATCTAGCAGGACCAGAATGCAATTATCACCTGAGGGCTGTCTCAGTACTTTGACAGGTTTTAAACCCAGATTGAAATGGCTCTAGGGTCTCTGTGGAATTAAGGTACGAAAGCAGCTGCGTTAACACCACCTTCTCCAAATTTTCTTAAATGAACGACAATTTAGATATCGGCCGGAAATTATTATGACATTTTAGGTTATGTTTCTTTAGCATTGGCTGGACAACCGCATGCTTGAACCATGAAGGAATGATACCGTGGGGCAAGGAGTTAAGAATAGATTGAATAGAGGCATGTTTGATAATCTGTGAGGGAATGGGATCGAGTGGGGTTGCAGATGGTTTCATGTGCTTTACTATGTCCGATAGTTCAGGATAGGACACTGCATTGAATTAGTCAAATGTAGCTATAGCTATGGGAAAATGAGGTTGGGAGTCAGATACAAAAGAAGTGAACTGCGCTCTGATGTGGTCAATTTTCACAGTAAAAAAATGTTTTAAATGGTCGATTGATATGCAGTTTAGCAATCCATCCTCCACTCCCTGCTAACTATTTTTACTAGTCAGCCCACTTTTTGCTAAAAATCACTGCAGTGTATGAGTGCTTTACATCATCTCTCCATTTTGTCCACCCTCTTTCACACGCAAATAAGCCGTCAACTCTATTACCTGCGTGGTTTCCCGTTCTCGTCTGGAGGAATGACTGTGATGTGGATCTTCTGTGCCGTGCGGAGGAGTCGGCTCCTCTCTTCCTGGCTGAGGTGCACCAGGACCTGGCCACAGAGACGAACAACACGAGCCCACAACTGCAGCCCACCGCTCTCTGCATATCCAAACCTCTGCAGATCAGTTACAAAGCCTTCCTCGCTCATCAGGAAGCCGGGCTGACCTACTCCGTCCCGCAGGGGTGTGATCTCACGCGCCTCACAGCCTCGTGTTACCAGCTACCAGGGGAGTTAGCATAGAAGTGTCATGTTAAAATGGCATACTGCATATCATAAAAGCTCAGTCTTATTTTTTCAATATTTCTGTTTTTATGGTATTTTGATTAAATAAATATGGCTTTGGTGAGAATAAGAAACAACATTTATTTTATATTTTTTCATTTATTTTTTTGTCATTTATTGTTTTTATTGGGAAAAATATGCAGTTTTTGACATGTTTGGAATCACAAAATGAATTGTGGTCAATTAGTTTACCTATATTGACAATCCCCACTTTGTAATATTTTATGTATTGTATGTCTTTTTTTAATTCAAGAGCGCAATATAGCTTTACACACTTGCAAATGTCAACAGTTTTGTTGTATTTTCATGGATGCTTGTGTTTAATATTTACTGCAGCAGTTAAAGCATACAGTAAAGTAGTAAAACCATTTTATGAAGGTCAGATACATGTGGTTACAAAGCAGATGCACCAATATTTGCGATATAATTCGGTATGAATTGACAGTTAACATTACGAAGCCCACAATAACAGTATTTACATTACAGATATACCAAACTATATATTCTGAAATCAAATCCCTCGTCCCACAGTGCTAACAATTCATGGAATTTAAGTGCCTCTATTACGCTTATTCGGATTTTGCCTTTCATTTAGCGTGTAATATAGCTGGTTGTGAATGTCTTCTTAATTTTAAAGATCCAAGTGCAGATAAATGGAGTTATTGTCTCCCATAAGAAAATATATTCTGAAGTGCCTGAAACAAGTCTTCAAATACACTTTGCATGGACTGGGATTGATACGGCAAAACCGAAGCCATCATTACTGTTTGTATCACTGTGTATCAAGAGCTGAGGATGCCTCAGGAGCTGACATTTCTATATGGTAATAGAGTTTTGTTTCCGAAACAAACACAACAGACAGGGTCATCTGACCAATCAGAGCAGAGTAGGAGGGGTTTAGAGAGACCGGATCCTTGATCGAACATCGAAGGTGATGCTGCAATGTATATTATGAGAAAATTTAAGTGTTTTTTGATGCTGACGCTAAGAGACCTCCAAAACAAATTAGAAAACTTTAAAATAGCATGATAGGGGCACTTTTAGTAATATAGAAATGCATACTGCATGACATCTCACCTCCAGCCTCTGGACAATCTCCTTAAAATCCTCAACTTGGCTGTCCAACATTGTCATGGTCACTGCCTCGCCTCTCTCGTAGAAGATATCCAGGCAAAGGCCACCCTGAGCTCCAGTCTCAGTCACAGCCTTCCAGCCGATGACATCACGGCAGCTGCAATTGAACACGACCGTTCTAGTGGATCGCTCTATGAGCACGACTGACTCCGCTGACACGCCGAGCAGGCAGGACAGGCTAAGACCGTTGCTCTCACCGTCCTGAACGACCGTGACGGCCCACACTAAAGCGCCTGCGCTATGAAGCTCTGCGCCTTTAGCTCCCTTAAACTTCTCTTTGCGCTTCCCGCCCAGTGAAAGCAGCGGGAATTTGGTGGAAGAATCAATGGGTGTTGTGGTGACGTAGTTTTCCGCTAGGTCTTTCAGGTACTCTTGCCGTGTGCGTGTGGCCATAGAACGAAATTTTTCCGCTTTCTCAGCTGCGTTCTCTGCATTAATGGCTTTGGCAAGGAGAAAGTCTCGGAAGGCAGGAGAACGGGGGAAGCGCGCACCTTTAGGGAAGAAAGGACCAAAGAGCGGGATATCCTTGGAACGAGTTACAGCAACTCTGAGAAAGGTGGAGATAAAGATATTTTTACATTTTTGTTAACATTTTATGTGTTTTTTTTTATGTGTCTACTCTTTTACCTGTAATAGGTGTTCTCGGTGCAGGGCTCGTGTACTTGGACAATGATGAACACGTGCTGAAAGTGAGAACGGATGGCTTTGGGGGTGAAGGGTAAAGCACCTGGCTCTTGGAAGACTATTGTGATAATATCATTCCCTATGTGCCTCTTCCTCAGTAACTAGAAGAGAAATAGAGAAAAGAGAAACTTAGTTAACTTGGAAGAAAAGTTTGTATTCTAAATGTAGTGAATTATTCCAATTATTTCATTCTAAATGCAGTGACTTATGTACTTGCGTTGTGTACTTCGAATCTTATAGTAGTATATTTAAAAAACTGTACTTGCAGATAAAATAATATGAATTACAGGGGTGGTAAAGTATGATTTCACTTTTCTAACTTTAGTTAGTGTGTAATGATGCTGTTTGAGCATGAACAACATTATCAAAGTTACAATGCTCCCTTCAAAGTTCAAAGCAAAGGAAGATATTTGCTTTTAAAGAAAAGGACTACAACAAACGGCTGGTTGGGACTACAGGACATCACCAACCCTAAAATGTACATAAACCCCGCCCCCGGGAACACTCAGTCCATGTTGAGAAGAGGAAGAGTGGTTGTATAAGAGTACATTTGTGAGTCAGCTCAAACTTTAGCATCCATCTTTTCACATGCAATAGAAAGTCACTCTGTGTTCTTATACGAGCGATTTATAGATTACATGACAGAATATTCTAATTTAAGATAGTTAACTCCACACATCAGCAACATAAATTTATCAATGAACCATTCAAAGACACCCTGTTGCATTCTACATGTTGTCACTTCTCGAGTCTCTTCATATTTGACTGACTCCATTTTAACATTAAAGGAAGAACAGTTTCTGTCATTTTAGTGTATCTGCTTGAGGAAATCGCAGCTGCTAAGACACAGGAGCTCTTGAAACCCCGCCCACTGCAGCAGCTCGTTTGCATTTAAAGGGCCAGGCACAAAGCAGTGCGTTTTTGCAAACCCTCAAAAAGTGACAATTGAATATTATATATTGTCAAACAATATATAAAAGATAAGCAATTCAACACATTTATATTTATACTTTTCAGTTCCTAATAGTTATTCTATTGCTGTTTCATTTCATTGTCCTATTTTAAAGGGATATTCACTGGTTCTGGGAGTTACCTGTTGTGTATTGTTGGATGTGTATGGAAGCATGGTGGAGACATGGAACATGATCTCGTAATCCTGGTAGCGAGTATACAGTGAGTGTGTTCCTGTGGAGTCAGCTGCAAATAACAAACACACAAACACTATTATTATTACGCACCAAATCAAAATCTGTTATTTACTTTGTGAATACGTTTTAAAATGTAATTTATTCCTGTGATGCAAGGCTGAATTTTCAGCATCATGACTCCAGTCTTCAGTGTCACATTAGCCTTCCGAAATCATTAAATATGTTGATTTTCTGCTCAAAAAGTTTTTTAAAAAATTGTTATAAATAGAGTAGTTCAAACGAACAGCATTTACTTGATTTTTTTCATACCAAGTAGAAGTCTTTACTCTCATATTTGAATAATTGAATGCATCCTTGCTGAAGAAAATTATTAATTTCTTTAAAAAAATAAGCAATTACAATTACAATGTCTTCGGTACTCGTAAAACCAAAGACAGTAATAACGGAAGTGTTTACCTTGTGAGTAGTTTTATTTGGCCCTCATGAGGAAAACAGTTTATATTATCATGCTAAATTATGTTTTTGAAAGTGTAATAATGTAAAAAGTTTTATGTGAGGGTTGTGCTTAGGGTTAAGGGATAGAATACAGTTAGTCCAGAATCAAAATCATTATGTCAATGGAAAGTCCCCATAAACCCAACATGGTGTGTGTGTGTGTGTGTGTGTGTGTGTGTGTTTTGAGGTTTTTTCTTACTTTTGGTGTCTAGTTGAGCTCTGTATTTCTCCCAGGCCTTGAGTCGCACTCTGTCTCCAAGAAGGTCCAGAAACTCATCAAACACTGGGCCAGCACTCTCATTGTTATACATGTCCTCTTCAGTACTCTGTCCTGCTCTGCAGTACATAACCCCCACCTTACGCTGGAAATTCAACTTTACACACACACACATACACACACATTAACAATGATGGAACTACGGTTGCTTATCCAACTAGTTTTCTACACACACACACACACAACACCATTCTTCCTCATTTTTCACTAAGCCTGTTTCACACTGTTTCACACTGCATGCACAAGCAGCGTAACTACAAAAGCGGGCTTTATCACTGACAACGTTGTGAAATCAAATCATCAGACACATTTCAAATGCCACTTTCAGACATGTTAAAGGAGTAGTTCACTTTTGCTGATAATTTACTCACCCCCATGTCATCCAAGATGTCCATGTCATTCTTTCTTCAGTCGAAAAGAAATTAAGGTTTTTGATGAAAACATTCCAGCATTTTTCTCCATATAATGCACTTTAATGAGAACCAAACGGTTCAAGGTGGAAAAGACACTTTAAGTGCAAATTGCAAACTGTTCAAAGGGCTTTAAACGATTCCAGACGATGAATAAGGGTCTTGTCAAGCGAAACGATCGCTCATTTAATAAATAAACAACAAAGTTTTAGTTTCAGTTTGCACTGAAACTGTCTTTTGGACCTTGAACCGTTTGGTTCCCAATGAAGTCCATTATATGGAGAGAAATGCTGGAATGTTTTCATCAAAAACCTTAATTTATTTTCGACTGAAGAAAGAAAGACATGGACATCTTGGATGACATGGGGGTGAGTAAATTATCAGTAAAAGTTTTTTCAAAAGTGAACTACTCCTTTAACAGTGTATAGTACCTGTATATGTTCAAGTTTTGTTATCTTTAGTCTCTCTATTAGCTGTCATCTATGTGATATGCAGTATGCAATGTTAATAAAATTAGCTTCTAGATGATACATTTATTTTTTATTGTCTGTTCGAAAACATGGTATCATTGAGGATAACAACACTTTTCAAGCCTACAAACACATGCATACACACACACATACTGTATATATATGAAGAGTTCAGATGCAAAAGCCTCTAAATGCCATTTGAAATTTTCTTCTAAAATGACCATTTTTATCAAGCTTGTATATTTATGTTCAGTAATTTCACTTAAATGACAATTAATAGGTAATCTTCATTGCCATTTAAGTGAAATTACTGAACTTAAATATACAAGCTTGATAAAAATGATCGTTTTAGAAGAAATTTTAAAATGGCACTTAGAGGCTTTTGCATCTCAACTCTTCATATATATATATATATATATATATTGACACAGGAAGGTGTTCAAAAGTTTGGAAGAATTATGATTTTTTAAATATTTTTTCAGTATCATTACTTCAGTGTCACATGATCCTTTAGAAATCATTATAATATGCTGATTTAGTGCTCAATTACTCAAAATTATTTTTGGTGCTCGATTATTAATAACAGTATTTATTATCAACGTGTAAAACAGTTTTTGCTGCTTAATATTTTGTGGAAACACACAAAATATGTGTTTTTTTTTTCAAGATTATGAAGAGACAGTTCAAAAGAACAGCATTTATTTAAACAATTTAAACAACTATTTTCTAACATTAAATGTCCAAACCGTCACTTCAATTGAATGCATCCTTGTTGAATTAAAGTATTAATTTCTATTGTTTATTAAAATATCTTTATTTCAAACTTTTAAATGGTATCACGATTCCCACAAAAAAATATGAAGCAGCACAACTGTTTTCAACATTGATAATAATAAGAAATGTTTTTTTTTAAGCAGCAAACAGCATCAGCGCTACCATAAAATGAATAAATACAACTTTTAAATATATTACAATTGAAACCAGATCTTTTGAATTATATAATTCTCATAAATAATATTTCACAATATTACAGTTTTTACTGTATTTTTGATCCAATAAATGCAGGCATGATGAGCAGAAGAGACAAACATTTTTAATTATTCCAAACTTTTGATTGCCAGTGTCAAAAAAGGGTTCATTGGGGTTCTTCTATATATGAATCATAGGGTTCTTTACTCAACTCCAAAGAACCTTTTATGTTAAAAAAGGTTCTATAATGACAAGAAAGAACCCTTTTGGCACAAAGGTTCTTTATATGCTATTATTCATTCATGTATTACATTATTCTGCAACATTTTGTAGTAATTAAATTACAATAATTAAATTAGTATAATTAAATTATTGTTTATTAAACTGTTGTAGTAACTTAATATTACATTTTAATCATGCTAATTTTAGAGGAGAAAAACTGAAATGGCACTCTTCATGTTATATTGATTAACTACATAAAATGATAAAATACGTTTTCTAACCCCCGTATCTTGAATTTTGTGATCATTCACATGCATTCATAAATACATTTTAGGGTCTTGTTGTTTGTTAATAACATGAAATATTTAATCCGGAAAGGACAAAACAAATGATAATGAATTAACCCAAAAGGATCCATATAGAACATTTTTCCTGGTTACAAAGAAGCCTAAGGGGTTCTGTACAGAACCTTTTAGGGGTTCCATACATGTAGTGCTGATAGAACCTTTTAAGGTTCTATACAGGGGCGATTCTAGGATTTTTTCAACTGGGGGGCACAAGAGGGGCCACAATTATTACAGAGGGGCCATTCTTATGTTGTGTATTTATGTAGAACTGTAGATATCCAAATCATTTCAAGTTCAGTAAGCTTTAAAATCAGCAATAAACAGTGATACCCTGTTATCTTTTAATAGCAGTTATTTACTGCTCTAAATCAAAACAATAAAATACAATTTATATTAACTTTTCACTTTACAAAAGTGATAGAAAAACTGTAATAAATAAAATAATCCAATGAATTAGTGTCAAACTCACAAATAATAATAGAACAGCCTTATTTATATAAATGCATAATTATATTAATCATTCATATAATAAATACACAATTAATGAATTCATAAAACTGTAATAAAATTGTATACATGTTTTCCCCCACATCCTAATCAATTTGCATTTCAGCAGTTGCAGTAAATTTGCATTGATGAATAGACCAAATCTGCTTATTTCGAGGAAGGCTAATTAGTCTTGAGCATATTGATTGTAAAATATCACATATAATACTTTGTTAGATAGCTACTTTTTTAAAAAGGTATGATTTAGTTCAATGTAATATATGTGGATCATAGAAACAGTGACTTAATTATCCAGTAGTATTAATTATTTATTTTGCTATTTAATCATGCATTTTTATTTAATTATATTTTTTTATATTTTTTATTTGAGAATGTTTCTGGATGCAGGGATTAAATAAAAAAAATTCTTTTGACTGATTTTTTTTTTTTCAGGCCAAGTCATATTCCTGTAACTTTATTTAAATAGTCGAGACCAATAGCGTTTTAAGGAGAGATGTTTTAAACCGATCTAATATTGCCAGTTTGCGTAATTTAAAAGCTATTTTAATCCATGAAAAACAATTACTTATCTTGACAAATAGGCCTAATCAACCATCTTCATAACTTTTCAGTGCATGTATTTATTTATCTTATAAGACCAAACAATGCTAACTGGCTGAGGGAAAAGTGAAGTTTCATAACTTTATATTAGGCTATTTAACTTTAACTTTGTATCCCATTAGAGAGCTGACTTTTAACTGAATTGTTTACTTGTTTTCTCATTGTATAGCTTATTATAGCCTACCTATAGGCTACTTATACTTTTGAATGGGATATTATCATTAAAACTGACATTTAACAAAAGAGACAGGGTTGTGTAATTTTATATATTCTAAAATATATAAAATATTCTTTATATGTGTAGGCCTATGTTTTTACTATACATTCTCTTCACTGTGTGTAATACAATAAAACGATACAACCCTGTCTGTTTGTTAAATGTCAGTTTTAATGATCAATAATGTTTCACATTTTTAAAATGAAAACAAAAAGAAGCAGGGTTGTGTTTTATATTTCGTGTTATAAATATATGCAGTGAAGATAGTCAATGTGAGTTAAGGTTACCTGAACCACATTTTTGTGGCCGTTAATCTGTTCATGATAATATGTCCATTTATAAATGAAATGAGGCAGAGTGCTGTTTTATATGTATTTCGTTTTAGTTGATGAAAAGAAGCAAAGTTGTGTTATACCATATAAGAGATAACCGGAGTAGCCGCGTGCTGAGTGACGCGATCAAGAACGCGCTATTCCATTAGCAGAATGACCGGACTCGCGTCCTCGGGAGTTCGTTCTCCGAATTTTGCGTTCTTGCCTGGTATTGAGAAACGACCAATATTGACCCGCGTTCTGTTTTCTATCATACGACCGCAGCAAACGAGCAGTAGCCTGACATGTACTTCTCAAAATCTAAGACTAATTGAGTGAACATGGAGCAGTTTTTCCTTGAGCGGGAATTGAAAAACCGGAGTGGACCATTAGCGAAGTGATTACAGAATGCTTAGAGTGGAGAGAGGAACGTGCTTTCGCTCCACTCCAGGCTTTAGCACATTCCCCTCAGCAGGGTGAATACACATCGTCTTTCCTTAAAAAAATAATAAGGTGTATAAAATATATCAACTTACCGTGTGGTTTTGAGAAGCATCGCGCGACGCGGAATCATGAATTATTCTACTACAAGCTGAAATATTATGATTTGAATTTTTGAGTGACAGACAATTAGAAGGGTGGGGGCACACTGGGGGGCCAATCAGTTTTCAGGAGGGGCCAGTGCCCCCATGGCCCCTCCCCTGGCTACGCCACTGGTTCTATATAGAACCTTTTCTTCTAAGAGAGTACAATATATACATGTATATCCGCATGCATTCTGTACGCACCTTATTTCTATTAGCTTTTCAGTACCCTTCAAACACCAATTGTAAGGTCACCAGAAATAAAGAAAGCAGCTCAATGTAAATCACTTACCCCCTGCTCATCCAGTTTAAGGAGTGTGTCTCTGACTTTAGGGGAATTGGAGGCCAGTCTGAGGCAATGTAGGTTGAGATCAGGCAAAATAAACTCCAGCAGTCTCTTGGGTGAAAGGCCACGTGGCGTGGTGTGACGTGCTGCGGAGGGAACAGACTCCTCCAGGATTGAACCTCTCAAGGTCTTCAGCTGCAGGAAAATGACAGTTAATGAGAGCCAAACAAATAATGTAGACTTTATTTTTCCTGAGGTTGATTATATTAGTCATGTATTCAAAATTATATAAAGGTGCAGATTTAAAACCTCATTAAAAAGATTGAATTTTAAAATGAACCTCTACCTCCTAAGAGGTCATATAGCAATGTTTCTTTAAAAGATACTAATTTATTTTTCTGTCTGTCAAAAGTTGAATACATATCTTAATTTATGTAAAGTACTGAGTTATGGCCTGAGTACAGGTGCTTTTAGAGTTAGAGTTATAATGTAATGCTATGAGTTTGTTTTTTTGTTTTTTTTTTTCGTAAAAGAGAAAAATAAATGAAATGGTACATTTGTTTATGAATTTCCCTGTGATTTCGTTAATTCTAAACAAAAACAAAACCTTAAGAAACTAAAAACTGTAAAGACAGAGAGTGGAAAATTGTCTAATTTCTGACCATTTTTTTCTAGTGTAAATTATTAGCAACATAAGTGGTAAGAAGGAAAATGTATTTTTTGACTTATTCTGTGTGTGAGAGAGTTTTGTATTTACTTCAGTGGTCCTGAAAATGATTCTGTAGTTGTACTGGGCCCCACTTGATCCCTCTTTTTCCTCCCTACGAAAACTGACAGCCACTGGCCCCAAACGATCGTCGATGCCAAAGAAATTCTGATGGTCTGGTTTACAAGAAAGAAAATATGTTAATAATTCATACAAAATTGTAACAATTAATAGTTGACATTTAATACAAAATGCTGTAAATAAATAAATAGATAGTGAAAGTGAAAACAATATAAACAAACTCCAGAATATTAAACATTAGAATAAGAGAAAACTATGATTGTGAAACTTTTAAAGGCTCATTATAGAGATGACTAAGCATACATGACCAAACGTTAATTGATGTCTTTATGTATGAACATATTTGTCAATGTAAAGAACTAGATAGCCAATAGCACTTGCGACAAAGCCTGGCAAAGCTGCACTTTACAGCTTGTTACAGCCACAGTTGTAATAGAAATTAAGGATAAAAGATTCCCCCCTTTAAAATTTAATATGCAACTGTTTACATAGTAAAACAGTGAAATTTTTGTAGTGAAATGTGTATTTTGTTATATTTGCGCATTGCATCCTTTGCAATCCTATCCTAGCATTTGATTAGACAGAAAATAGAATAATAGTCGCGGAGAATGAGTCATCAAAATTGTTGATCTGTCCTCTCCGCTTAAGATCTATAAGAGCTCTGCTGCTCTAAACTTTTGTATCACATTTGATGTGAAGGGGAAATGAACAAATGAACAAGAGGAATACAATAACAGTATAGTATGTTGGCTTGACAAAAGCAATAACAGACATGGTTACAACGCTGTCAGAAAAAAAAGTACAAAAGCTGCACCTTTACCAACAGCTTGTATGATCTACCCTTAAATGTTGCATATTAGTAGCAGGGGTGTCAAACTCAGTTCCTGGAGGATCACTGTCCTGCAGAGTTCGACTCCAACCCTAATTAAACACACCTGGACCATCTAATCAAGGTCTTCAAGATTAGTAGAAACAGAGAAGTGCTGTATCCCAATTTGTCTACTATGCGCCCTAAATAATATTTGAAATTAAAATGAGTGTGTCCCAAATCATAGCATGTTCGAATGAGTATCCTAAAGATACCCGATGGGCTACTTTTTCTAGTTAGAATTCGAAGTGCAGATCTGTGCACACCATAGATATGTACAGGTATGAGAAGATGCCACATTCCACCACTCCAGACACATTGGCGCGCCCGCCATATTTTTATATATCTTCCATTGACATCCTTTAAAAAATATATGCCTCTTGACTAAGTACCGCAGCATTAGCAGGCATTATGCTTTTTTTATGGCTAAGGTTGCAGGCTTGTCTTCAAGTGGCTTTGTTAGAAACTTCCAGGCAGGTGGCCCTCCAGGAGCAAAATGTGCCTAATGCCTGGTTTAGATTACACAATTTTTTTTTTGTCTGTTACGATAGTCATACGCGATTTTGACCCCTAAAATATTGTCGTGGCATGGACAAGACACATGTCAGACTACACGTTGCTTCCTGACCAGTCATCGCATGCCATCTTTAACGGCGCGCGTGATGTCATTGAGAAGGCGAAACTAGTAGCGAGTGACTTCCGGAAACGAACATAAACAAACAATGGATGAAGCGGTGAGTGTTGTATTGGCTGTCCTATGTTCAGAAAAAAGTAAAATAAACAAAGAAAACCTGACAATGGTCAAGTTCCTGGATTGCTCGAAGAGGACAGTATGGGCTGTCAATCCTCCAAAGAGAACTTAAGGTCAAATACTATTTTCTTATATATTTTTACATTTAGTTTTAAACATCGTCTCTCTTTTGTTTCGCCATTTTTGAAAGTTGTGTACGGAAAAGCTTCTGTGCTCCTATTGGTCAGCCTCATACAAGTGACGGAACCGTCGTTGACAACCAAAAAATTAAACATGCTAGTCTTTTTGTCGTGAGGTCGTGAAGTATCACAGACGTGACGTAGGTTGTTGCCCACTATGACACACTATACGAGATGATACGATTGAATCTTGCGTCCCGACGCCCGTTGTCGTTTACGAATCCCCACGACATCCTACATCAAATCGGGCTAAAATCTTGTAATCTGAACCATGCATTACAGTGTTTAGTAGTACCCTTTAAGGCAAGGGTTTCTAACCACGTCCCACGAGCACTACCAACGCAGCACAATTTGCATGTGCCCTTTGTCTGATACATGCATTTCAGGTCTCGAGTCTCTACTAATGAGCTGATGATCTGAATCATGTGAAGGTGTGTTGGATTAAGGAGACATGCACGTGTTTGGAAGATATACCTTAAGACAGGGGTTCTCAAACATTTTGGTGCCAGGGACCCCTTTCAGGGGAAAAAAAATTCCAAGGACCCCCCTCATATTTATAACAGTTATTGAGCACAAAGTTAATGTGTGAGCGGCAAATGAAATATTTTTGCACAAAATGAATGGTCTCCACCCAGGGTACTATGCAGGAATTTCTAAATAGCCTACTGAGGTAACGAAAGTGATCTTGCTAGGAATCACTTAGGATCCCTCACTTAGGAATTTTTGATGTTCTTGATCTACACATGTGCATTTTAAGGTGTTTTAAGGCCCCACAATTGGATAACTATAGATTTAGTAGAAGCATGTCAGTCAGTGGCATACATTTTTTTTTTTTGTCAAGATGTCACGAAACACAATCACATATTCCAATCAGGAATGGCCTTAAAAGAGAAATGTTTCAATAATTAGGCCTATTCTGCACACAAATAAAGCCCATAAGCCTATAAATACAATGATAATGGCATTATGTTTAATAGGTGCGTGCGTTGTTAATTTGAGCTACTGTAATTAGCTAAAAAAAACATACAGTATATGTTAAATATATGAATCCATAATGTTAATCTCATGGGCACAGTATGTTTCTATTGACCTGCTTTTTCCTTTGTTAAAGTTGAGCTTGATTAATACTTTGCAAACTGATTGTTTCAGTCGTTTTTTAAAACTTTTATCTAAAACAGCTGTTTAGTTTATGTTAATTAAGGCCTACATCTTATCTCGCACTTTATGACCGTTGACTCAAACGTCGTGCGGGGAACTTTGAGTTCACTCCGACTCAAACATTTTGACATTGACGAGCTATCGTTGTTAGTCTGCTGAAGCACCTCAGACGAGAAGGTCAGTATCATCGCGATGTGCATCCTTGCAACCTCAGTTGTGGGTACGGCCCTGTCACTATGCACTTTTATTTTGATAATGATCAGACTTCTAATGTCAAATCTACAGTAGCAGTGCTAGAACTGACTATTTTGTGCGCGCACGCGAGACGCCGGCGCGCAATTACATGGGAATTTTTCCTCAGCAGTGGAAACAGGAATACTCTTATTTATGGTCATAGATAAGACAAGAGTGCATCATCCGAAACGGTAAAGTGTCCATTTTTTTATTTGTGTAGGCTATAGGCTACATTATAAATGACTACAAAATGGCATGCCTTTTAAAAATACAGAAAAGAACCGGATGCGGGTTCATGCCGTCTCTCTGTCTCCTTTCTGGCGCATGTCCCGCAAAATCAACAGCAGCGAATAGTCTACTTGACGCAAAGACATAGATTATCTATCTATAGAAAACTTTAAGTGTCTACTTTGTATTGTTTGATGTTAAATGCATTATATAAGTTACTTAGGAATAAACAGCATGTTTTCAGATGATAAAGAAAACATGACTCATAGCATGGAAAAAAACGTTAGGTTGTAAATTATTTAGCGGACCCCCTGGCTTTAGCTCGCGGACCACCAGGGGTCCGCGGACCCCACTTTGAGAACCACTGCCTTAAGATATGCTCAGTTCCAATCTTGCCCCAACACACCTGTCTGCAATTATCAAGTGCTCTAGAGTCTAGAATATCTTAATTAGCTGTTTCAGATTAGCTATTTGATCAAGGTTGGAGCTGAACTTTGCAGGAAGGTACAGTAGATCTCCAGGAAAAGGATTGGGCACCACTCTTTTAAGGCTAAAGCCCAAGCTGTTGTACCCCAAAAAGTACAATTTTTATCACATTTATTCTGAGAGTAAATTAGACAAAGCGATGAAAACGAGTATATGATGTTTCTTCAAAAAGAGCAAACAAGCCAAAGTGGTTCGCTACACATCCTCACCTTTCATGTAAAAGTACTTGTGATAGTAACGAGCCCCAAGGTCTGCATGCTCTATGAAGTAGTTACTTTTCCCCTGGGGCTGGACGTGGCTCTCCCTGGGCTCCTCTAATACTGAAACAGCATCATTGGGGGTTTGAAGACTCCTCCACCTGCACCTGCTGTGCAGGCCAAGGCCCACGCTCTCCTCGCCACCCATCTCATTCCGAAAGTGAGGACAGCTGAGCAGGAGATCATTATCATTCCCATCTCCTTCATCCAGCAAAGACTGTTCTACATCTTCCGAACTAATCCCACTTCCCGTGCCACTCCCTCCACCCTGAGAAACTGAGGAAGGTGTGGATTGAGAGAGCGGACGAAGTTGAGAGGCAGCTGACGCACCAGATGTGATGTTCTTCTTGCGCCCAATGCTGTCCCGATTAGTGGCAGCCTCCGTCAGGTCGAAGAGGATACTCTGTACGTCATAGTGTGCAAAATTGCGCACCCAAGCACCGCCTGGGACTTGTTCACAGGGAAACTGAGTGGCGTGCGGAGGGGAAGATTTGGCCTTTTTACCGAGCCCCTCTGGTTTCGGGGGCTTGACTGGTTTTGAAGTGTCTACTGCTGGAGAACAGTTTGCTTGATACAAGCCGTCCACCTCGGGAGGTGCCTCTTGCAGCCCCAAAAGAAGAAACGGATCTCTGAAGCGCAAGGCATTGGGACTGAGAGCGCCTTGTTCTTCGGCACCAGGACCTACGCACTGTGTCTGTCGCTCCAACGAGGAGAGGCTGCCGTATTCTCGGTGGAGGTACTCCCCCTGCCCCGCAGTCAGAGTTTTGTCCCCACCTGCCCGGAGCGACTTCCTCCCGACCTGCCCCGTTGAATCCAAATCACCAAGGGTGACATCACTGTTGCTGCGCTGCATTATGTGTCCACGACCAACTGTCCTCAGATTCAGTGCAGCTGGGTTGGGTGTGACACTGTCACAGTTTGTTCCCTCTGGCTCTCTCCTGGGGGGCCATTCGGCCACGACTCGTGTCCGCACACTACCGCCATCCTGCTTGGGGTCAAAGCTCACTCTCGCTAGGGGCGGGCGGGGACTCTGCCTGCGGAACTTGCGGATGAAGAGATCGTCTGACTGCATGATGCCCTGATGATTTGGAGTTGTGGGAAGCTCTTACTTTTCAGATCACCTTGCCCCTTTTTCTTACTTCTCCCCACCAAATTACTGCATCTGTGTGAACAAGTCAGGAGTTTTTGAGGAACTTAAGTGACGGACACAAATGTCTCTGTTCTAGCCATGAACACCTAAATTCTCCAGCACTGCCAGCCGAACTCCGTTCAATAGGTTCCTCATTCACTAAAATATTCAGAAGGGTTGAGCGCAACCTTCTTCCTTGGAATAAAATAACAGCCGCACAGGCTCCAGATAGGATTTCAATCTCTCATTAACCATCTTAAAGTCTAATACACAACAGTACTCTAATCATTAATGTTATAGGCCAAACCCCAGCTTGGATTAAAGTTGGACCTCCTATTGACTCCCAGTCTGGTTTATTCTGAGTCAGGTACACCTCGTCGTGACTCTACGTTCATGGCCAACCACAAGCTCTGTGCCCTTAGAGACCACGGCTGCATCCTTCACTGAATTCCTGAAACACAATGACATGTAGGTTATTAATAGGTTGTACATGATAATAAATGTCATGTTTATAGCATTTTGTGTAAAATTCACTTTGTGCTTGGGTTGAAAGGCAGTAAATTAGATTCTGTGGTAAATTCTGCTGTACAGTCTATACGTTATTATGTGCATCGTCTGACTGCATAGGTTAGGGTTAGGGTTAGTAATTCCACCTACTTAAATTTTAATTTCTCTCAAAAAGTGTTAACCTTTCCTAGCCAGTGGCACTATACTCTAGGTCTCACACACACAGAGAGAGAGAGAGAGAGACAGCTGGTTGGTCTCCTTACCACTTACCAAAAAGATTAATCATCTCTAATCCAGCTTTCTTTTTTGGTGAAACTGCCAAATTAAAATGTAACCAAATGTGCCCCATTCCTGAAATACACACTGACATACTAATGATAATGTAAAAGCGAGCTGGTTTTGACCAAGGGGCTGCTCACAATTAGTACAAAGACAACAGCAAAAAATACATGCAAAATACACATTGAATGTATAGGCCTACATGTAGGTGTGTAATTGGGCATGTAATACCTGACACCTATTAAATTTAACAAATAATACACATATGTCTTGCACAAAAAATAAATCAGAGGCTTATCTAAACGCTAGCGCAAATAAGATGTAAAAACAACAGTCATAATTTTTATACACTTCCTTTCAGTCAAAAATAGCATACAGACTATGCCGTACATCAGACCACATCCACCCAGCTGGCCTGCACAATAGCTGCTCTGCTCACAAAAGGAAGGGGCTTCCTGCAAACTTTGCCAATACATTGGAAAGTACTCATAAAATATGCAACATTGTTTGCCTGTTTTTTTTTTTAGCCCATGTTGCGTGATTTTTTTGCCTTATGATTTGGTCTGCTCCCATCCTCTTCATCCTCAGAATCTCTATCTCTACATTCTTGAGTAAAGGATGGAGAGGATTAATATCCAAGACATATGCATGATAAATTAACTTTGTTTTAATAAAATTATTCAGAGCTACAGTCTACTCTGTCAGATGTAGCGTCACACATAAAGTTTGGCACATGTACAGTAGTTTATTCAGCAATCAAAATGACATTTAATTTATTATGCCACACATTGGTCAAACGACCCTGAATACTATGGCAGGCAAATTTGTCTTTAAATGTCACCAATGTGTCACCAATGTAATCCAGTTTTGACAAGTACAAATCTAATTCATGTGCATTCAACTGCATTTAAAGGTATTTAAAAAAAGCTCTCTTATGGGATTTTTACCAATAAAAAACTTAATTAGCAAACATGCAAATAAATAAAATACAGATAAAACACTTTCACACAATCAATCAATATTTTTGATCTCAACTGTTTATTGTTTATTAATTTGCATCTCTTTCTTTCAAAAACATGCCTAGATGTTGTCCGTTTTGGATATTGGCAAACATATTTATTTATTAAATATTCTTCAATCCATCGATCCATTTTCAATGTAAAACTAAATACTATTGTACGATTCATAATTTGAGTCCAAATGACTCAAAGATATACATGAGATTCAAGTGTTAATGCTCTGACTCAAACTGATTTAATTCCTGCTAACAAGGACTTATATCTTGGACTTATTCACTGCCCACAATGCTTTACAGCATGAATGCAATTACCATAATGAGTTGAATGAAGAGCTCTAAAATGCAATTCTGGCTAGTAAGAATTACTCTTGTGGATGTCTTTAATTACATTCAGTAATAATGAATTTGATGATATCTATAATACTCATAATTTCACTTGTTAAGATCTAAAAATTATTTCTAATTATAATAATTCTCACTAAATGTAATCATTTCAGATAGGCCTATCTTTCATTTGACTAGTATAAATATAATTCTGACTACTCAAAACTGAATTATGACTAGTTGTATTTTTTTTTAACAGTTAATTACAGTTACTTTGTCTGTCAATTCTCAAAATGAGATTGTAGTTACAACTGTCAATGTCATTTTGACTAATCAATAATCATAGTTAAAATTATAGATATCTACAGTTAAGTAAGTTTCAGACAGCTTGATTTGAATTTAAAATAGAATTGTTACATGTAAAACACATCTGTATATATTTGTACAATTCCACTTTTCCTTTTCAGATTCCGATAACTTAATTTTTTAAGTTAAACCAACAGTTTTTTTTTTCCAAAATGAAATTTGTGAAAATAAAGGTTCATATCACTCAAAACACATATGGGTAATGACCTGAAAAGGTTTGGTACTTTGCCCGAAAAAAATCTTACTGAAAGCTCATTTTATATCAACCTAAAATTTGAAACATAACTTGTTCAGCATTTTGGATTTGATTTTCTTGAAGTTTTAGAATCCACCAGATTTTGAAAAAATATATTTTATATTCAATATGAAAAATAACATTTTTACATTTTACATTTTTATAAATTCAAACTTCTATAACTTTTTTTGTTTTGTTATTTAACTTCTACAAAAACTGGCCAAATATCTTCTTTAAAACCTACAGTAGTTAAACCTAGCCTATAGGGGTGGTGATGGCGCAGTGGATAAGACATATGCCTTTGGTGTGAGAGACCCAGGTTCGAATCCACTGTGAGACATCAATGTGTCCCTGAGCAAGACACATAACCCCTAGTTGCTCCAGAGGCGTACGTGCGACCTCTGACATATATTATAAGTCTTGGATAAAAGCGTCAGCTAAATGAATAAGTGTAAATATATAGAATACATACACACATACACACACAATTGGAAATAGACACAATAACACCCATGGGTGATGCACAATATTGGATTTGTTTGACAGCAAAGTCCATGTTTGTGCAGATGCCAATACAGGTATAAAATATGTATATCCCAAGTAAAAACTGCATTAAAAATATCTAAAATTGCACTAGTGCAAACTGAATATACTATCAACAATGCATGGGAGCTTTTTAGGATAAAATGTCTAGTTGCCATGGACACTAAGGCACATGGACAGACCCCAAGTGGTGCTCAAGCACCTGCCCAATAAATGCCCTTTTCTACATCATAAGTGGATTTTTTTGCATACATATTATATATAATTATTATTTTATAATTAATTATTTTATATTTAAGTTTTTATTTAAAATTATTATTGCACTATTGCAATATCTGCCTACAAAGAGTCAGCCTAATAGACATTAAGGCCTACATTAACTCAAGCGAGTCTGGCATTGGCATAAAATAGCTTTGCAGGGTCGAAAACCACCAACATTAATAAAAAAATATCATGTTGAGCATTAGCCTATCACACGAACAAACGTGATGTTTTCAAGAGCTGTCAAACGATTAATCGCGATTAATCGCATTCAAAATAAAAGTTTGTGTTTACAATATATGTGGGTGCACTGTGTTATTTTGTATATATATAAATACACACACATGTATGTATATTTAAGAAAAAAATCATTTATATATAAAATATTTATATTATATAAATTATATATAAATCTATATACAGTATATACATGAAAATATTTCTTAAATATATATCATGTGTGTGTATTTATATATATATATATATATATATATATATATATATATATATATAATAATTATACACAGTGCACCCACATATATTATGTAAACACAAACTTTTATTTTGGATGTGATTAATTGCGATTAATCGTTTGACAGCCCTAATGTTTTCCCGAATATCAGCTCAATTGCAAATGCAATTTTAATATTTTGACTTTAATAAAACAGTTCCACAAACAAAGTTGATATCAATTTAAAATTGTAAAAATGTATTGTACATTTAGTATCGTATCGTTTATGAATGAATCAGCTGCTTTGAACGAATCCGCAAACGATTTTTTTTTTTGACTCGCTTATTAAAACTTGCCGCCACCTACTGGCGGTTTTATTTAATGTAAAAATACTGAAAATATACAGAAAACTATAATTTATTTTTTTCATTTCATATTTAAAAACTAATTTTATAGCATAATTCCTGCAACTGTAATTGCACTTTAAAATTAATAGATTAGTAATAATAGTAATACTACATAGTAGTATACATAACTGTCAGTGTAGCCAAATGCTCAACAATGATTTTGCTCATTTACCAATTCCAGCATAATGCCAAGAAAGAAAAAAAAATATATATAAATAAATAAATACATAAGTAATTTAAAGGTGTTCTAATTGAGCACTTGACACAAAATGTCTGTGCACTGCCCTGCATAAAAATGTAGGCTATTATCGTTTTGGTCAGATGTAAAAGCAACCAATCATAAACATAAAGCACAATATGCAGCTAAACACAAGTGCCATCAGTGCCATCAAGTGCCAAAAAAATCATTTATTATGCCATGAACTTCGCAAAGTTGGATTTTTTACCCTCACAATTTTGTTAAGACTATTTTAGCTCCAGTAACATTTAGCCTAGTGTTTGGAACTAATAAAAACATATGAAGTGGCCCATAGCTATTAGGCCACACATCATGTTCCAACATTTACTCAATGGATGACTCTATACGCATCCCCAGATGTCTGGGATAAACCCTGAATATCCACTGACCCTAGAACCGTCCCTGAGGTAGGCTATGCCTCTCTCAGCATCGTTTTTGTGCTGATGTGCCGTTTCTTTCTTATGAGCATCTATGCACTAGACATTTCATCCAAATCTCGCTAAAAAGAGGGCAGTGTGGATGCTGTGAGAGCTGTGTGAATGCAGTTAATAATCTGCCTGCCTCTGAACAGACTCGTCTACGCTAAAACAAATCTACATCATTATTATTATTTCTAAAATATCGCTTTACAATAACATCAGTGTTTAGTTGAGCAGTTTAATTTCATAATAACAACAAAGGCTGCTCGCACGATATGAATCATTGGCTGCTACATGCCAAGCGGAACAGGACGAAGTAACCGAATGAACAAAGAAGCAAACGAGCACATCCTTTCTCACTAACATGACGCTGCTACTGTCTTAATGCCGGTTGCATCAGTGG